TACTTGTACTTTTATTCAAGTATCACTTTCAGGTACTCATCCGCAGAGACCCCTACTAGCTGAAGTCAAGTGGGGGTCTCTGCGGACGAGTGGGCGTGTCACAAGGAAAGGCGATTCTAAAGCGACACACCTGATTTGACGGACTTTGTTAAAGGGACACACCTGATTTGACGGACTTTGTTAAAGGGACACACCTGATTTGACGGACTTTGTTAAAGGGACACACCTGACTGGAAAAGCAAAAAAGGGGCGATACCATACGGCACCACCTGATTGGACAAGAACAAAAAGGGGCGTTACTGTACGGCACCATTTTTTCTGGAGTCCCCTACTTGGGTCACATTTCTCCTGGTCAACCTTAGTTTTGGGGTCAGGGACAGGCTGTAAAGAGGTCAAGCAGGGTCTAAGGATACCGTCATGTAGGCCTCGTAGCCCACAGTGTTTATGCATTTGACACGCCCACTCTTGTGACACGCCCACTTTGATTCCGCAGATAACCCCTTCTCGCTGAAGTTGGTCACTTCTCACAGATTGGCTCTGGAGGGCCGATAGATGAACCCAGTTGGTCAAATGAGGTGTCAATCAAAACTGGAGGGCCTAGACGGCCATTTTGATGCATTGAACATGGAGGTAGGTTGCTGAGAAATGGAGAATGACAAAACTAAATGTAAAACGGTACGCGGGCGTTCCGGTGCTTGTTGCGTTCTATCAGCTCCGTGTTCGACTGCTAACCAGCTAAAGATCGATCGGTCGATCGCGATCGACTGGTTGGCCTGGCCTGAACTAAACATTTCCTTCATGTTTGACCTGAAGTGTCCCTCTCTGACAGCAGGAAGCAGTGTTGGATCTGTGGGGATTGTTTTCAGACCATCATCCCTCTGACTCTGTGTCTCTGACCTGCTGCTGTGTGTTTCTGTTGTTCAGGTTGTAACGGTGTGCAGCTCGGTGCCTCCTAAAGTGTCCTCGTCTCTGTCTGCAGCAGAGGAGGTGCGATGTTCCCTGGAGGAGCTGCTGCAGAGACAGAAACGTGTGTCCAACACGCTGCAGGAGGTAGAGATATGCTGAGACAGCTTTTTGTTTTCCTTCTTCCAGCCTGTCTTTAGTTGTGTTGCTGCTGTCATGTTCAGAATGACTTCATAAAAGCAGAAACAAGTTTCAGTTTTACATTCACTGTTGGTGAATAAATACTGATAAGTACTGCTTGTTTTCCAGCACTTGCAGGGGACCGAGCTGTGGACAGAGGGTCTTGAGGACACATTTACTCAAGTGGACTTTATGGAGAAATGTCTGAAATACCTGAAGTGTCTTCACTACGTAGGAGAACTCAGGTACAGAAACCACAGCTAAGGAACAGGACCCCCAATCCAACCTGGCTCTAAGAGGATCACTTTCACAGACAGAGAGCTAAAATGTGCAGCTGCAGTAGCTGAGAGTCCTCCTTAAAGGAATCC